CTTGTGCGCTGTGCCACTCTGCCTTGGAGCCAGCTCAGTATGGACTGAAACCTCCAGTAACTGTGAGCTAAATAAACCTTTCCTTCCTTTGAGTGTCGGGTATTTGTCCTAGCAAAGAGAGAAGAATAGCTAAGACAATGACACTCCTTAAAAAAAAATGAATCTAAATTTAGGGTTATCAAAAAAAAAAGTGGCAGGGGCCGGGGAATGGCTCAGTAGAATAAGCACTTGCCTGGCGAGTGCAAGGAAGGGCCTGAGTTCAATCCCTGGTTCCGCAAAAAAAAAAAAAAAAAGTGGCAGCTTCTTTATAATGCCAAAGCCCAGGTTTAGGTAGTGTAGGTAGTTAAGGCTTCACCGTTGATTTCTGGGAAATGTAGTTTGGCTGCTGCCTGCTCTACTGTTTGCGACAGAAACTACAACCACCAGGAGCCACCGCGACTTTGCCTGTCGCAGCCTACAAATCAGTGGTTTTGGAGTCAGGAGCTGACTGAGTTGGGCGGTCGGTCTGATAATGGATTCTCAATTAATGCGTAGCATAGTAGGAAGCTATCTTAAACCTCCAGAAAGAATGTTTGTTCTGCCACTTATCGAGGATGAATCATCTCAGAATTGTCACCCTGTGAACTTAGAAGTTACCGTTACTAAAATGATTCATGGTCCCAATAGCCAAATGCTTATTTTAGCCTTAAAAACACTTCAGGAAAAGATTCACTGGACCAGCCAAATATCTCAGCGGATTAAAGCCCCTGCAAGCAGGCTCAGGGGTCTGGGGTTCAATCCCCGCGGCGCGCTGAGATGGCAATTGAAACTGGGCTTGGTGGCGTGCGCCTGTAATCCCAGCTCTTAGGAGGCTGTAAACAGGTGGATCACTACGACTCCAATCTTACGACCCTGAAGACCCTTCCCCGCCCAAAAAAAAGTACAAAGAAAAGATTCATCGTTTAGAGAAAGAACACAAGCTAAAGATAACCTGAACATGCTTTCTAGAGAAGCTGAACAGTACAAAAAGGCCCTGGAGAATGAAACAAACGAGAGAAATCTGGCTCACCAGGAACTGATAAAGCAGAAGAAAGATGTAAGTACACAGTTAAGCTCAGCCCAGTCTCATTGTACTCTTCTAGGGAAGCAGCTAGAATATACAAAGAGAATAGTCCTCAGTGTAGAACGTGAAAAAATATGATCCTAGAACAACATGCCCAGCCTCAAAGGGAAAAAGAACAAGATCAGATAAAGCTGCATGCCAAACTTGAAAAGCTTGATGTCTTAGAAAAAGAATGTTTTAGATTGACAACCACTCAGAAGACTGCTAAGAGGACAAGATTAAACATCTAGAAGAAAAACTTAAGGAAGAACATCAGCGTGAGCTATTTCAAGACAAAGCTGCTGAAGTTCAGACTGGACTTGAAATCAGTAAAATTTTAATGTCTTCATTGTCAAATTCAAAACAATACAAGGAAAAGAAAAAATCTTCAAAGTCTGCTAGTACAGGCTGTTCTGTGAATGCAAGTAGGCAAGACCTTCAGCAGAAGATGCCTCGCTGTGGCTCATGTAGCCTCCCGAAACGCGCCCAAGTGGTTGAGCCTAGATGTCTCTGTAAGCCTCCTAGAGCAGTTTCCCAGTACTGTAAAGCTGTACCTCGTGGACCAGAAAAGTCTAATTACATTTGTGACAGTTTGAACTTTTGATGGCAATGCAGGATAAGCGAGACCAAATGAGCACGAAGCATGAAGAACTAATGAAACAAATGAAAGAAACTGAAACCCATTCCGTATGTGATGATATAGAATGTGAAGTAGAGCGTTTAGTCAAGAAAATGGACCACTAGAAAGAATGTATGTAATGTGTTAATTATTGAAACTGTCCTACCAATTTGGTTTGAAACTGTCTCATCGCTATTTTATCAATAAAATTATGGGAAAAAAAGAAAATGGAAATTAAAGCAAAGCAAATTTCCAGTGTCCTGAAGAAACACCAGGACAGTGTCCATAAACTACAGCAAAAAGTTCACAACCTAAAGGCAAAGTAAAGCTTCAGGTATTTGGCAAGATGTTAACCAAGAATTGAAAAACATAAAAAATAGCCCCAAGAAGTGTTTGCATGAAGCTAACTCTTCTCAGAAAAGTAACAACTTTCATCCAATACAAGTTCATAATATTTAGATGAAATTGAGAAGAGACGATATCATGTGGGAACAGTAATGTAGTACCAAAGCTTGTCAGTGTAAATGAACTCTGTCAGCAAGAACCTGAATTGTTAAAATCGTTTTAATATATATTTATCAAATTTCAAATCATGTTTCTGGCCTCTATAAAACATGAAGTTGTAAGTTTTTAAATTAATGCTTGGTGACCAACTAAGAATTCCAAATAATATGGTACTATTTTTCCTGACTGTCTGAATTCCCTAAACTCATCATGATTTAGAAACACTACTCACTCTGTAAATATTTTAAGCTAAATCTAGGAAATTAGACTAAATTACTCAATATTTAAAATTGAGTTAATATGAGCTATCAGTACTATTCCACATTTTCATTTAGTAGACTTGTAACCTTAAGAACCAACATTAAATGAACAGAGTACAAAAAGAAAACAAGGGGCCGGGGAGATGGCTCAGTAGAATAAGCGCTTCCCTGACAAGCACAAGGGCCTGAGTTCAATCCCCAGTTCCTCCAAAAAAAAAAAAAAAAAAAGAAAAAAACAAAAGGTACCAACCTAGAGAAAAATTTTCACATTCAATATAAGCATTTAAATCCAGAATATATAAAGAACCACTATAATTCAGTGAAAAAGAAAACAATGACAATCAAAAAATGGATTATTTCAACAGATTCTTCATGAAGGAGATATATGAATGGACCACAGCATGAAAATGTACTTAATATTTCTGTTTATAAATGAAAATGTAAAATTATGAGATTACCCATGCTCAAATTTCTAAAATTAAAGATAATACAAATACATGTATTAATGACAATACTGTTTTGTTGATGACATGGAGAAACTGGGCTATTGACATATTTCTGATGGGAATGTGTAATTATAGAATCACTTCCTAAAACTCTTTGGTAGTTTCTTACAAAGTTACAGGTATACTACTCATACAATCCATAAATTATTTTTCCTGGGTATTTGCATGAGGTAGGGAAACATATGCCCAAATAAAAACTTCCATAATTTTATAGGAGCTTTGTTCATAATGGCCCAAATATAGAAATTGCCCATTTTTTATAAACAGGTCAATGAATCATCAGGGTGGGTTCTTTCCCTTTCAGTGAGCCGACCTACATGCCAATCAAATCTGGAAATATCTCAGAGACACACCCAGAAGCTGCCTTAGTAACTTTGCTCAGTGTCTCTGGGTCCAAATTGATTCTCTGGATGCAAATTGACAATGAAGATAAGATATCACCCTGAGCATATCTGTGAGAACGTTTTTGGATGAAATTAACATCTCCATCAATAGAATAAATAAAGTAGATTGCCTTCCCTAATACTCAGAAACCTCATCTAATCACTTGAAGACCTCATTGAGCTAAACAGCTGATATCCCATGTGTAACAAGGAGTAGGGCTTTCATGGTATACCAATTACAATGCTTTTTTTTTTAAAGACAATACCTGCTGTCTGCCTGTCTTGAGCTGTAACATTGGCCTTTTCCTGCTTTTAGACTTGAACTGAAACATCAGTTCTTCAGCTAAGCCTGCTGTGCCTAAGACTAGAATTCATACTACTGACTCACATGGTTAACACAATTTTGAATTCAAAGTTGTAGAACAAAACTTGGGCCCATCTGGATCTCCAGCTTGCTGAATGCAAAACTCGGTGCTTCTCATTTCTCCTGTGTGAGCTTTTCCTTGCTGACAAAATAAATCAACTCAGGGAGCAAAGATTTATTTTGGCTCCTGACTTTGGAGGTGACAGTCCATAACTGGCTGGCTCCATTGTTCTTATGCTAATGCCAAGGGAGATGCATCATTGCAGAAGGTCATGACAGAAGAAAGTACTCACTCTATGGCAAGAAGCAGGGAGCCAGAGGAATCTGGGGTCTGAGGACTCAGTCTACCCTGTAAAGCAATACCCCCATGACCTACTATTTCCAGCAGGGGCCCAACTCCTAACATCTCACTGAGCTCCAAATTCTTCAGTGTTTCACCCACTGAAGAGGTTAGCAGCCTTATGATCCAGTCAGCGACCTAGGCTCCATGTCTGAGCACTGCTGCTTTGGGGATCAAGCCTTCAAAGAGTCCTGGGGAAATATTTCCTATTTAGACCATAACAGTAATCATGACAACCATTGTTTACACATATATGTCATGTGCAAACACACACACTCAACATGACACAGTGCATTATCCTATAAGCCAAACAAGTCAACTTACTCTATTTGGTATTTAATTTGACTAAATATTGAGGAAGGAGCAAAGGCTTTTATAGATATAAAGATAAATGATTAATTTTGTGCCCACTAAAGGAATTATAACTTTTGTTATTCTGAAGGTTAGCCAGCTGTTTACATTAATTACAATCACATTTTGGTGTTTTCTCATTACCAACGAAACCAAGTACTAAAATGTAAGTGCTTTTACTGACACACTTACTCTGCTGGTTTTCTGAATAATGGGTAAAATAAATCTTTGCTAAGTACTCACCAACAAACATGGAACTCTTGGCTTGTAACTATCAAGTGCTGCACTTTCAGCAGATTTCTAGAAGTGAGGGTATCTTTCCCCAAAAGCTGCTTTCTGACTTGTCCTTACCTTACCTTGCCAAACACTGCACAAAGGCCCACTTCCTGAGGGACACAAACAAGACTGAAAACATCATCTGAGATGGGGTGGTACCAGTAAGATTTCCACACCCAGGACCACCACAGGACTCAACCTCCAGGTTTATATCATGCAAGAATCAACTTCAGACACCAAATATATATCTTTTGCATAGGAAGTGGACCTCACCCAGGCCCAGGGAGGAGGAGGGGGCACAGGACTTAAGACTCAGTTTTTCTCTTTAAACAGTGCCTGACATTTATTGAAAGTAAGGAAAAGACTTGGTACAGGTAGTGTATGCAGAAGAGCTGAACAACCACAGGGGTCACCACTGTGCAGAAACAAAGGCTCACACACCAGAGATAGCTGCAAGCTCAGAAGAAAACTGGACACTGGGGAGAACTAGCCGGTCCTCAGGAGCAAAGCAATGCCTGGCTGTGGCTGCCAGGAGGAACACAAAGAGGTCTCTGAGGGAGGGGAGGGGATGGGTCCCGCTGAAGCAGAGGCTGCTGTGGCCCTGCAGAGGGAGGCAGAGCCTTCTGAATCCAAGTCCAGGGGCTGTTGTGGCCAGCTCAGGTGCCTGGCAGATGAGTCCAGATCAGGGTGGCAGTCCGTGGGTGGGAGCGCTGCATGGTGATGGTGATGGTGAAGGTGATGGTGAAGGCAGGGCAGGGTGGGGCAGGCAGGGGGCTGGCAGGGCTGCTGAGCCAGGCCTGCTGTGGGTGGTCTGTTCAGCTGTGGGTACCAGGGGCCCAGTCCAAGGCTGCAGCCAGGCCAGAGTCCAGAGTGCGCGGGAGGAGGGGCCAGTGGGGAGCGCTGGGCGGTGGCGGGCTCCACAGCCAGGCCTGGGGGCTGCTTACAGGCTTAGTGGGTTGGGGCTTGGTGGAGGCTGCAGCGCGAGTCTGGAGAGCTGCTGTTCCTGGAACAAAGGCAAACGGGAAGACGCGGGAGGGGACCAGAGAGCAGAGCAGAGCAGAGCTGGGAGAGCAGAGTGCGGGCACTCGCGGCAGCAGAGGGGGAGGGCGGTGCCGCCGGGGTGTGGGGGAGGGCGCCCCAGGCGACCGGCACAGCCCACCCTCCCCTAGCACCCGGCCAGAGCCAGAGGACCCCGCGGCCTAGAAGTCCTCGTCCTCCTCCCATCCAAAGACCCGCTTCATCTCGGCCAGGAAGCCGTGGTAATCGTTGAGCAGCGGGCTGTCCTTCTCGATGTAGGGCATCACCCACTCGAGAGCCGGGCCCGTGAGGCGGGTGATGAGGAACGTCACCTTCAGGGCGTCGCTTGAGAAGGTCTTGTCGTCCACGAACATGTAGGAGCCGGTCTGCACGATGAACTCGGGCAGCCGCTCGGTTTCCCCGTTGAACGTCTCCGGGAATGGAATCGGGTTCCTCCAGCGGCGCTGGTTGGGACGTTGGGGACGGGTCATGAAGGTTTTCATCAGCTGCACCCGACCGTTCATCGTTCCCAACTTGATGGATACGCTGGCCTTCGCTGGGTTTGCTGAGAGGCCCAGTTCAGTGGGTGGGCGTCTCAGGAAGTGCAGATAGCAGGAGAGGAGCACAGCCTTAAGGAGAAACTCAGCAGAGCTTTGCGCAGGCGCCTAGGGCCTGTCTCCTTGGGGCTCAGCATTCCGGAATGTCCTTGCTATTGCGCAAGCGCAGCGTGGTCACTCAAGAAAATAGGAGGCTGGGAAAGTCTTAGAATTGGAGGAAGAGGAGGAGGAGGAGTCGGAATCAGAGGGGCGGGACTGAGGTTGCGCAAGGCTGTTGGTCCTCTGGAGATTGGTGCGGAGGTCACAGCTGGATGTATAGGGAGGCGTGTAAGTAAAATGTAGGCTTGGTGTACATATTCCCTGTCTCTACATGCCTTCGGTGTTCCTGTGAAAATGATAGGTCGTGACAGTTTCAAAGAATGAACCGTTTTGTAATAGGTCCCTTGATGTAGATTTATCTGATAGTGTCCCATGATTAAAAAGCATAATTTTTGCTAGCTGTAGCCCAGATTTGTCTCCCTGTATTGTATCAAGATTTCGTGACATCTCAGTGTATTTTATTACTGATCTTGTTCACCTTGATCATTTAGTTGCCATAGGTACTATGAACACAGTAGAGTTGTTTGTGTTAAATTCCAGAGGGGCAAGATTAGCATGCCCTTCTGCCTCCCTCCATGCAAACTATTCCGTAAGTGGATCTCACCAAGGCAATTTATGGTATATATCTTGCCTCCAAAAATCGCACGATGCGCTCCGTGAATCTCCTTGTCTATTTTTAAACTATTTTAAATAGATTAAAAACCTTTCAGCATATCAACTTCCACGTTTATGTGAGTCTATTTTTGTTTCCATATTCTGTTTCATTCATCTATTTGTCTATCTGGATACTGAAATCACATTGTATTAATTAGTACAGATTTATTATGGGTTTTGAAATCAAATAATTTTACTTCTCTAATTTATTTCTTCTAGTCAGTTATTTTCACTATTATATCACCTTTTCATTTCTATATAAATTTTTTCAATAATTTTATTGAGAAACAAATAGCAATGAGACAGTTTCAAATCTGATTAGTAGGACAGTTTCAATAATCAATACATTGCATATTGTTGTCTTAGTGGTTATTCATTGTACAAGATGCAGACATGATATCCTGTTTACAAACACTATTAGAACAAATCTTTCTATTCACTGAATTAAGAGAATGTAAGTGTATATCTATCCTAACTATTTTGAATATACAGATACAAAATGGTCATTCATTTGAATCCCCTTTTTTTGTTTAGTTTCGTCAGAGAAGGGTATTCCATTGTCATTTAAATATTATAGGTGCATGATCAGTTATTTTATATAGTAAAATTACTGGAATTTGAATGTGCATATCTATTTTTGAAAAATTACTATCCTAGCAATATTGAGTCTTTAATCCATCAACATGTATCTCTCCATTACTCGGATATTTTGTGATTTATGTAAATAATATTCAGTAGTCTTCAGTGTGCAAGTATTTCATATTTTGATATTTAACTTTATTATCTTTGTTTTTATATTTTTGTTTCAAATTTCTCATTTGTTACTAAAATACAAATGTTTATACATTCCCTGTGTCCTCAATTATTGCTTAATTCTTTTTCAGTATTTTTACTCCTAGATAATGTTTTCTATATACAAAATTATATTGTTTACAAATATCAAGACTCTGCCTTCTTCCTTACCTATAAGAGTGAATTTTATTTCTTTTGTTTTACCTGTTTTATTTTTTGTAATTGCACTGTCTAAAACATGAATGTCCAATAACCATTTGGTTTGCTGGTGCCACATTGAGAAGAATTACTGTCTTGAACCACATATAAATTATATAATGTAGTTAAGGTATACATTCTACAAATTTTTCATTATAACACCTTTTAAACAATAAAGCAACAAGGACCTGCTAAATAGCTCAGAGGACTAAAGTGCCTGCTTATGTGGAGCGCAGCGGCAGAGGTTCCATCCCCAGTGTGCCATGCCGGCCCCACCCCCAGGATGTGCCCAGTGAGCCATTGAGACTGAACATGGTGGCCCATGCCTGCAATCCCAGCACTTTGCAGGCTGAAAACAAGAGAATCACTATGAGTACAATCTACGTAGTGAGACCCTGTAGACCCCGTAGACTAAACACATAAAAAAGTAAAAGTAAAGCAACAGAAATATAAAATTAGTGGGGCATTTGACCTCATTTTGGGACACTAATGCATCAGTGTCTGGTTTGGTGGAGCTAGTTGCACATATTAGTATATTCTCAAGGTGCTTGTCAGAAATTTTTGATCTAATGTTACTACTCCTTTGCTTCATCCTTGAAAATGTGTAATCATAAATGTACATACTGCAAAAAAGCAGGGACATGAATAAGGTAGGTGTGATGCATTGCCAAATGGTGGTCAGCTTGTAACACCTGGCTGAATTGAACCAGTGTGATGCTTGCTGTGGGAGACCCACCTGAGGATTGCTGCCAGCAGCATAAGAGGCAGAACTAGGGAAAAAGGAGGGAGGCTGTGGGGAGCTGGTAGAAGCTGTTAGGGAGCTGGTGGAAACTGCTGCTTCTCTCGGGCTATTCTGCTTGAGGACCTTGTCATGTTGGCTTTCCTGGTAAACTTCGTTGTTCTTGTTGGAGGAAGAGCTCAGGACCTCATCGTTGCTAAGGGTGGCTACAGTTTACACTGGGGGAGCTCTCGTACTCATCCTGGTTCCAGAAGGGAAGATGATGCACTGTTCAGTCTCCTGGAGAAGCTGGTCAAATTGGCTTTCCTGATAGGAGTTTGGCTGTTTTCATCCTCAGAGGAGCTTGGCACCTCACTGTCACTGAGAATGGCTGTGGTACTTTTTTTTTTTTTTTTCGAACCGGGGATTCGAAAAGAATCATATACAGAAAGAGAATGCAGGAAATCTGTTCACACACTCAAGACCAAAGAATCCAGCTGATAACCTGGTTTCCATGATAATGTCCTGCGTGAGATCACCTGAAGACCTACAGCCTGTAACAATGCTTCCCACAAATCCAACTGGAAGCCTAAAGCCCATCACAATGTCTCATGCAGATCTGTTTCAAGAATCTTCACTGGGAAGGGCCAAAGGTGAGTGGTGGAAGCTAGAAATTCTGGGCCAGTGAGATGAAGGATCTGTGCCAGCAGGCTGAAGGATCTGCACTGAAGCCAGGAAACAATGCTCAGGGTAAGAATCAGAGCTTCCCCCAAAAAGTGCCACAGCCAGGGGCCTGGGAGATGGCTCAGTAGAATAAGCACTTCCCTGGCAAGCCCAGGGTCCTGAGTTCAATCCCCAGTACTGCAAAAATTAAAAAAAAGAAAGAATTTTATAAAATATGCGTCCTGTATTGCGTTGTTCCCCTTGTAAAACCCCAAACTATGACAGTATGATTTTCAATTGAGGAATATTTTTCTCTGGGAAGATAGCTATTGACTTACTAAATTTATTATGAAATAACATAAGCTCAAGTTTAATATTTAAATATTACATCTTATATGTCTGCTTAGTAACAATAAATGGCTGTCCTCACAATCACACTTAGGTAGGGTGACTGGCATAGTATTGTTGGTAGTCATTGTATCTTCCTTTTCTAGTTGTACAAGTTCATGTAATTTCTAATCGTTGGAGTTTCTATTCCACTGTCTGTGTGAGATGGTATAGCACTCATTATTGCTTACTACAAAGTTGTCCCTGGAAAACCATGAGTTCAAGCATGAAAAATATCACTAAAAACACATAATAATGTTAGAAGTTTAGGATCTTTGGGTCCTTATTACTAGCCTTTCAGGCTGTGTGTTGGCCAGGCCTGACCTAGAACCTCTAGCACTATATTGTGTTGAAGGGTTCAGAATAGATTTTCTTTTCTTGTTCTTGATATAAGGATGGCAGTCATTCTATCATTCACTTTTAAGTATGATAAAAAGCTGTAGGCATTTTTAAAGGTTTTTGTAAGCATATGTTTGTGATACATAATAATTACAAATATCTTTGGGAATTGATATCCATACACATCACATCTTAATCATTTGTAATTTCCCTTTCCCTCTTTGTCCTCCTGTTCCCCCATCCTCAAGTCCCTTTCCATCTCTTCAAAGTTGACTTCCCTGTTTCCCATATAATCTTTCATTTCATCTTTCCTAATATCGTGAGGTTCTCATGTAAGAGAAACAATATGTTTACCTGTCCATGTCTGTTTTATTTCACTTAGTATTATGGTCTCAAGGTGCATCCTTTATCCTCCAAATGACTTAAATTTATCATTCTTGTTAATGTCCTTTTATTTAGTGGGTGGGGTGGTCTTAGGTATTTGTTTCCAAGTTTTTGGTGTCAGTATAAAGAAACGGGCAGGATACTCAGGAAGAATAGCAACAGTATGATTGATTAAGAAGGAGTAACAAGAGTAAGAGAAAGAACTCAAAGTGCACTCCACAAGGTGATAGTGGGCCAAGGAGAACTCATAGCCAGATAGAGGCAAGCTCTGGGTCTCTTAGAATTCTGGGATGATGGAAGGGGCTGGAGCTGGGGATTGACTGGAGTCATGGCCCAAAGGGTTACCTGACTGGGCACGCCAATCAGAAGGGGAATTATTTAACCATGCAGTTTTTAGAGGAAGTGTCATGCTGCCCAAAGCCCAAAGCCCACTGAGGGCATGCAAACTGCAGTGCAAATGAGGTTAGACACAGGCCAGAGTCCTACAATTCTGCATTTGCTCATGCTTCGGAGACATGGGGGGCGATCTTTATGTATCAATTTTCTGATATTTTGACCTAGATATCTTTGCTCTGTGTGGTTTCTTGATTTGTGTTCCACAGGTTTCAGTGACTAACTTCTTGCTCTGTCTCCCATCTCATCCTCAGTCACCTTTTGACATTCTCTTCTCCGTTTGATTAGAAATTTTATTAGGAACTTTATGACACAGAACTCTATTTTAAGTATTTACTCTAGAAAAATAAATCCAGGGGCTGGGGAGGTGGCTCAGTAGAATAAGTGCTTCCCTGGCTAGTGCAAGGGTCTGAGTTCAATCCCTGGTTCTGCCAAAAAAAAGAAACAAACAAAAAGAAAAAGAAATCCATACACACAAAGAGCTGTGCACGAACAGCTGATTATGTATGTAATTGCCTAATCTGAAACCATGGTAAATGTCTGTAATGCAGGA